GAGACTTCACCAAAACTCTGAAATTTTAGTCTCATGATGCCATGAGAGGAAAAATCAGGGGATTTCTAATGTAATTCATCATCTGGGAACCATATGAAGGTCTGGACAATGTTTTAACATTATAGCATGGCTCACAGTAACACAACAATTTTAGAGCAGCATTAAGTTGTATGTTGCACAGGTGCAACTTATTCCAGTGAAAGGAACTGAAATCAAATCATGTTTATTTTATTGGTGTTAATTCACCATTGACAAACTGTGACCTCCTGCTCAGGACGACTTTACTCTGAGAACCAGTTAATCACAGTGCTACAGTACGAACAAGTGACAGATTGACAGACATGCAGGCGAAAGTGGTCTCATTGACAACAGTCTGACGAGCAGAGGGGGACGAGATGACAGTTTTGAATGCCGTTAAGAACATGAATCTGTTGGTAAAAAAAAGAAAAAAGCCTAAATGCTGATGGACACGAACAAAAATAGCACAGACAATCATGCACATGGATATTCATGGACCTGAGTGAAGGTTGCGAGAAGCATTGTTGACCGATCACGTCTCTGTTTTCGTTGGCTGCCCCCGCGTATGAACTCCATTTTGCAGACTAATCTTGTCTGTCAGAGTTTTCTACAGCATCATGCTGTGTTTCATTTTGAGCCTTTACCCAGAAATAGATGAACTATCAGCAGCAGCAGCCGAAATGGCATCAAGTTACCCAACAAGTTGTTGCTGTGAGAAGGCATATCAAATATCTGCTGGAAATCTGACATGCCTCTAATCGTGTGACTCTAACCACATGCACACAAACACACACAGACGCACAGATACACACACACACAGACGCACAGACACACACACACACACACACACGAATTCCCACAAACACACTTGCCAAAAAACTCCACCTGCTCCTTCCAGTCCTTTCCAACCATTATCCATGAAGCCAATTCAGACCAAATCCTGCTGCTGTGTTGGCTGTGCTCTGTTCCAAGCAGTGAAAAGGAAGATGGGGTTTTGTTCTGCAGCCCAGAAAGGCTTCGGGATGTGACGCAGAAACCTCAGACAAGGAATGGGGTGGAACAGAGGAATACAGAGAGTAAAATGGAGGGGACCACACACACACTCTCACAGATGTAGAATATGTCTGTCGGATGGTAAATGTGGTCACAGAGCCCCACAGGATCCAGGATATGCATGATTTGTCCATGCGGGGCAGTGGAGGGTGAAATGCAAAGAAAAGAGAGAAAATGAGAGGTTCAGTGTGTGTGAATCTCTTTATAAACAGTGTGTGTGTGTGCGTGCAAAGGCAAGAAGAGGAGATACAGAGCTGAAGGGAAAGAATGAGATCATGACAGCGTTTTTGTGTGTGTGTGTGTGTATGAGAGAGAGAGAGAGAGAGTCTGACTTTGACCCACACAAACTGCCAGTGGGGAGGCAGCTGACAGTCTGGCCAGTTGCCATGCGAAGCCTCGGCAACGTGCAGCCTGCCTCGTACGCAGCAGCGTCGTGGAAACAGTTACCAGGCACGTCTGTTTCACTGAGTCAACAGCTACCACTGGTGGACAAACCCAGACATTCATTCATAAAAACGTGTAACCACAGAGGTATTTCACATGACATTCAGTGGCGTCAAGATATGTTAGACAGTGAAAATATTGCACACAGACACCATGTAAGGTTTCACTCCTATGAGATACAGATGAGCCATATCCTTTAAACACGCACACATATTTCCACATTTGCTGGAATATATGTCTTGCTCACACGCCAGCTAATTTACCCACACATTCTCACTCCAGCTGAAATAACATCATCACCATATAGTCAGCAGCAGGACATCCTCTGCTGTAATAGCAAATGGGGCAGAGGAGGACAGAACAACCTCCGCCAGGCGTCCAGAGTCGGAACCCAAATCAATTTAATGCCCCAGTACATTTGGATTAAAGCAGCGAGCAGATCAAACAATGAATCTGAAACAAGCACACTGTCCTCTACTTTATGGGTCACAGAGTCCAAAAGAACAAATGTGCCAAAGGTGTCTGGTCTTTGCCTAATGCATGAGTGAGTAAAAGTAGGAGGCAAAAGACGTCAAAGCAGCACTAAGAGAGGCAAGAGTCCGGTTGCGACAGAAGAGTCCCTGTTAAGTAATACCTTGCAGACTTTCCATGTTTGCATAAAGTAAAACATGTGTCCTGCACAGTCACCTGTAGGATATCGTCATTGAAATGACAAATCATTGCTTAATGCAAGTACAAACTGACCTCTTAACAGTGCCGCTGTAGTAAGTAGTGGGCTCCATGTTGTCTCTCTCACCTGCTAAACACAAAACAGAACCATTCAAATGTTGCAGTTAGAGTTTTGCCACAAAGGCCTGATATTGACACTTGTTTTACCATATACAAGTTATTGACCTATAATAAAGTTATAAAGCGGAGAACGCATATCCACTTGTTGCACATTTGGAGGCATAGTAGCACAGTAGCAATCAGAGGATGAAGCTGTGGTAGCAAGGTCCCGTCAATACACATGCTCGACCAATCATGAGTCAGTCTCAGCTGTCAATCTTTTTAGAATCAAATGATCAATTAAAACCAAGCTTGCTGGACAAATGAACACAACACAGGAGTGTGATAAGAACTATCTAAAAAAGTTATCAAAACTATTTAATGTGCACTTTTTTGTTTGTTCCATGTCCTATCCACTAACATTGAGGAGGTGGTATTTTTGACCTATACTGCAGCCAGCCACCAGGTGGTGATCAAGACGATTTGGATTTTGGGGGGGCTGCCTTGTCGTCCATCTTTATAAACAGTCTACTTAAAATCTACAATCACTTTTCATTGCTCTCAATCTGGAAAATCTAAAGCTGAGAAACATTCTTTCTTCCGTTTACGCTTTCTGTCACATTCTACATAGAAGTTTGTGGTTAATAATCAGCCTGTAAACATATACAATCAACTCAGCCCGTACACCTACATATCTTTGACACGTTTATCTAAAAGCCATTAAACCCTTTTATGATGTCATGAGTCAGCAGCCACGCAGACAGACAGCACCGGAGGGAGTGATGATGTCACCACGATGTCACCTGGATGAGCTGCGTGGCTGTGACTGTGTATGACTGTACATGTAAGAATTTGTGCTCACAGACATAAAGGAGCTACAGTTGAATTACTTTTCTTTTACCGTACGTGGCACCTTGGGGGTATTGAGTGTGCGGCCTCCTTTGAGATCATGGATTAATTCTGACCTATATGCACGGCCCTGTTCGCATCCTGTCCACCCCGGTGCAGCTGCGAGTGTTCGACCCCAGCCCCACCACTTCATCCGGGCTGGATTTTAGAGGCGCATGGCAGAGAGTGTGACTACCAGCATGACAACAATGTGTCTGTAGGTCAACAGAACTGAATTAGACGTGTTGATTTTGGTGGGGGTGGGGGGGCACAAAGACAAGCGTGGCAACTGCGCCTCTCTGCAGCTGTGGGTGTATGTGAGCATCGGCAGGAACACTTTCGCTCCACGTCTCACCCCCCTCCCTTACTGGTTCCCTCCCCCTCTCACTCTCACTCTCATGTGCCCTGCCCCCCGCTTGTTTGCACCCTCTAATTGACTTTTGACAGCCCCCCCCACCCCCAGACGGATTTCAGCAGAGGATAAAGAGCCCCCTCTTTGTCCTCTGCTGAAATCCTTGTACTGTTCTCTTTTTTTTCTCTCTATCATAATTCCCTCACTTCTCCTCCACATCATGTTGCCAAGTGGCGGGGACCTTGACAGTGAGAGATGTGTCGTGTTCGCACAGCCGACAGATATCTGAGAGCACTGAAAGAGTTAGAAGGGACAGCAAAAGATCACTTTTCCCACAGACACACACACACACAGACACACACGCTGAGACACACAGACAGACATTCACACACAGCCAATCTGGCCTAAAATGACCTGGAGTGTGCGAAGTGTCTGTGCCCATGGATCTGTGTGTGTGTGTGTGTGTGTGTGTGTGTACTCAACACAAGTTTACTGTGTCATACATACGCACATGCTGCAGCAAGCATGCCATCGCACACTCATGTGACCACTCCAGTATCTTGATACAGTGTGCAAACACCAGGCCTCTAGCCCAAGGTCAGAGGTGATACCACTCTCAAGATCTCGCAGAACCAGACCAGGTGGTGGAAGACGAGGACAAGGGGGAGGAAAGAAGGGAGGGATGAAGATGAGGAGGCAGAATGAAAACAACAAAGGATAAAAAAGATGATGGGAGAGGGGAGGAACGAAAGACAGAAGACCGTTTATACACTGTTATACTTTTGTAAAGATGGGATAGTGTGATGTGAGAGGAGACTAAGTCATAACACAGAGATAAAGGAGCGAGGGTGATGTCCTTGTGTTCAGACATTGAGCAGCGACAGGAAGGCCTGTTATGTCCTCGTCAGGAAACAAAGAGCAGCGCTGCCCTCTACTGGCACAGTATGGTTATGAGCATTTGTTACAGTGGATAAAATATATAAAATATCTCTAATTTATGTACTTTAACAAATATCAGTGTATTTGATTTTTGTTTAAAATCATGATGTATATTTACCAGAAATATACATAATCAGCCACTCTTCAGATGACATCATGCCTAAAAGGCTGAAGAATTATGTCAGATTATAAAGTAAAATAAATTAAATACACAAATGATGAGGACAAGAAAAGTTAAAACTAAAGCAGAAACCTGTCACACACAGACACACAGCAATGGGTTGAGATATATTTAGCAATTGAGAGTTACAACCCTTCAGTGAATAACTGCCTTTTACCATTTTTACATAGTTATTAGGATTCTTTCAGTGTTATTGGTGAATTATTGTCAGGTTTTTTGATTAAAGTAACTCCAGGTAAAGTATTAGTTGTAGGAGGGCTAACATAACCCAGTCTGATCAGGTAATAGACGCCCAATTCTTCAAAAAGGCTCATGTTAAAAATGAAACTTATTTGTTCCAATGAATTCACAGAATCATTTCTTAATAAAATTATTTTAATTGTTCAAAAACACAGTTATGACAATTAACCTGAGCAGTGCATCATGTGGAGCTTGACAGAGCAAAAATTATGTTTCTTTAAAAAAAGCACAAAAAAAGCCAAAGAAAACATTTTATGCAAACATTCTTCTGAAAAACCAGCCTGACCTTCATCATCCTTCCTTTATTTGAAACTATAAGCTCCTATGCTCTGAGGCTCAGGAACACTCTGCATGTGTCCTTTAACACCACCTTTGAAGTGGGAAATGTTTTGAACCCTTTTACTTGATCAACAATGTAACTCAAGTGCAGAATTTGAAAAGATGGATTAGGAAATAATAAGATAGATATTGCCTTTATGATCTACTAATCTAGTTGTGGTTCACATAGAAGGTTTAAAATAAGTAAGTATCAATAAGAAGCTGTGAAGTGATTGTTCACTGATGAATTTCAGAGCGGTCAGAGGAAGACATTAGGAATAGCATTTTCATGATGGGCGGATCTCTGGAGTTTTCCACCTCTGAAGAATTGGAGATTCAGTTTGGCAGGTGCCGAGACATACCACATAACCACACCGGTGGGGTTCACTGACACCACAAAGTCAGTGGAGTCTTTCAGCATCACAGACTTGTCAGTGAACACATCAATGATCTGAGGAGGAGTAGAAATAAAACAGTGAGGGAAACAATGAGTAAGTCTCCTGCTATATTCATGCATGAGGTTAGTTACAGTATCTATATTAATTTAATTTTGAAACCAGACGAATAATTTTATAAAAACGATGGACAGATTCATAGAAAACATCTGATAATAAATATTTAATATTGTCAAGGGGAAAGAACAAATCTAGCTTGAAGGCAGCTTACAATTAATAACATTTAAAAAGCTGCACAGTATCTGAAACTGTCTGCTAATACAAGATAAACAGCATTTTATATTTTATATATACAGTAGTTTAATTAAATTTTCAACAAAGCCAAACTCTATATTTGTATGACAGAATCTTGAGTACGACAAAATATAACGGCGTAGAGGACTTTTAAAAGACGTACCTTGTAGCTGCCGCTCGTGTAGCTGAGTTTGCTGAGGGACGTTTTATAGCGATATGGCATGTCAGTCCGACGACTGAAGAACACCAAGGCACTGGCATTTTTTGACAGGGGGCGCCAAAACACCTGAATGCCACTTTTCTCCTGGTAAAATAACATGGAGGAGAAAATGTGAATAATAACAACAAGAATAAACATCATGATTACAGAGGACAGAGATGAGAACTTGCAAGATCCAAGCAAAAGTGCGTCACCTTCACAATTTGTCTTCCCTGAATGCCCAAGAGGTCCTGGCTGATGCCGATGGCCATTCTGTTCTGTAGGATAACGCGGGCCTCACTGCTGATGGTGCGTAGGTCATTGGACATGAAAATAGGAGCGGCCATAATCGCCCACAGAGCCATTTGAGCGCGGGACTGATCAATGCTGAGGCCAAAGTCTCCAATAACCAGCTTAAGAAGTTGAAATTAGACAATCGAGGAAAATGACATGAAATGGTAGATCGTTCCTCTCGGTGCTTGTACCATTGGTATACTACCCTCTACCCATCCCTACCAACAGAGCATGTACTCATTAGTGAATATGTGAAAATGGTGTTATGTCAGATAAACAGACCATGTCAGGGTCGTTCCACCTTCCAGGACCCGCTGCAGGTGACAGGACATCCTGGTTCTCGAAGAACCAGTCAACAATGTTCAGGATGCTGTCCCAAGAATCCTGGATGTCGCCATAGTTACGCCACAGGTTACAAATCTCACCCAGCTGAGTGTAATTCACCTGGAAACGTAAATCAGTTTCACATCAACAGAGTCTTGAAATGTTTTCAGTGACATGAAATATGTTTAAACATATTCTGGTGATACCTTCGGTGGCAGGCCTCCCTGGTAGGCGGGCCAGCTGCAGGAGTAGGCAATGGGGCGGCCGGTGGCATTTAAAGCCTTTGACATAAGAGGGTAACCTGTCAAAGAGAGGAACGAGCATCAGACATCAGCAAATCAGTTACATATTGAAAACCACAAAGTAAAAGTCACGAAATGTCTCACCCTGCTCCTGCTGCATGACATCAGAGTAACAGCCATCAAATTTTAACATATCCACTTCCCAGTCTGCGAAGGTCTGAGCATCGATCTCGATCTTGTCCAGTGGGGTGCCGGGGTAGCCCCCACAGGTGTGCGTGCCCATGTCCGCGTAGATCCCCAGCTTGAGTCCTCTGTCATGCATGTAGCGTGCCAGTCTTTTGATGCCTCCTGGGAATCTAAGGGGAAGCATGATAAACAGTTCCTGTTTGTTTACAAAGCTTTAAATGGTCTTGCCCCTCATTATATCACTGATTTCTTAATCCCACATTTTGCCCCCAGATCACTTAGAAAATCCTCACAACTCCTCTAGTCCCACGTTCTCGTCCAAACACTTAAGGGACCAGCTTTTTTCTGTCCATCCCACATTAGGTCTTGTCCCACTATCGATACTTGAAATCTAATTTAAAGTCCTACCTTTCAATCTTGCTTTTAATTCAGCTTGACACTGTCTAATGATTCTGTTAGTGTTTGTCATTATTTTTACCTTTTTCAGATATGATGTGTCTCTAATTTTTCCTCTTTCTTTTTATCCCTACGTTTCATTTTGCCATGATAAAGCACTTTGGCTCAACTCATGTTGTTTTTTCACAAAGTAATACAGTATATTGATTAAGTGTGTAAAAGTCAATGCAAGGTTTTCAACTCGATGAAGAGTGAACTGTTCCTTTTCATCACTGCTTTTGTATAAATCATAGTCTGCAGCAGAACAACCAATGTAAATAACTCAACTGCATCATTCAGATGTCTCTATTATAAAGTTAATGTTAGGAAAGAATGAAAAAAATTAATTAACAATGCATTTAAACTATCATTTATACCTCTACTCATACATAAACTGAACAATATGGGTTTCCAGTCACATAGCGAAGCTCTAACTCACTAAAGCCTGAAGCTGTTCATAACTACAGTGTGATTTCCTCATCATGTATTTTCACTTCCACCTTTCAGGGAGGTGTGTTATGTTTTAATATGCTGATGCCGCATATAAAACATGTTGATGCAGTAACGCTGCACGCAATCCAATCTGCTGGTTAATGTTTTGGTTATATAAATGCATGACTGTCACTCTGTCTCACCAACCGTTTTATTGACATGCCTGTTTAAAGATCACATATAAATGTTTGCACTTTGGAGTAATGACCTGTGTGTGTGTGTGTGTGTGTGTGTATGTGTGTGTGTGTGTGTGTGTGTGTGTGTGTGTGTGTGTGTGTGTGTGTCGTTGAGCATATAGCGTGCATATACTACATACCTCTTTGGGTCCGCCTGCAGCCGACCCTGCTTGTCTCTCTCCATGGATGCCCAGCAGTCATCTATGTTCACATAGACGTAGCCAAGCTCCTTCCAGCCGTCCTCGAAGAGTCTGTCTGCCATGTCGATGAACAGATTCTCACTGGAAGAGAAAGAGTAACGTCTCATTAGAAGGTGTAAACAAAAATATGTCACTGTCATTTGATAAATGTATTGTTTGGACTTTTCAAAGAACATAAAGAAAAAACTAGGAACTGTGTCAAGTATGACAGAAGTACAAGGATTAATTCCCCATACTGAAGATAAAGTGAAGTAGCCATGTAGAGAATAACATTTGAAATGCCACATTAGCTCTTATACTACAGACAGAGAGCGTAGGTATCCATAGTCTTTCCCACAGCCAAGCTGATTGTGCTTAGATCAATTCTGACTGTGGCGTTGTTCTTGTTTACTGTTGGCTAATATCTTTATCATTGAGGAAGAACTACAAAACATGGAGAAGTCACAAGGTATGCGGTTCGCCAATAAACCCTGTTTTTAAAGCTCAATGGGATAGCATTAAATGAATGTTAACATAACATGAGATCACAGTGTGCTATGTTTGTGCTGTGTTGCCTCACCTGATGCAGTTCTTGGGGTCATTGTCGCAGTCAATATCACAGCGGTATCGCTCCCAAGCCAACCAGCCCATAGGAGGGGTCAGCATCAGTCCGTTGTCGAGGGCCAAGGTGGTCAGAGGGAGCGCCGAGGCGAGTAAGAGCACCGCCAGATGCATTCCTGCAGAGGAAAATAACATCAAGTTGAATCAGATGCACTATGCTGTACCCTGCACTGCATCAAAGTTAAATACAAGGCTACAGTGTTTTACAGTCACTATATGTTTGGTTCCTGCATAACCTGCAGCGAAACCTGCTTTTTCCTTTGTTCGCTGACAGGATCAGTCAGGACTGACAGGGTGTGACTGTGGCTGAAACACAGTGATCACTGTCCGTAAATATCAGCTGATCACATCCACACTCAGCACTTACTGCAGAAAACAGCATGGCAGATATAATGCCTGAGCAATTAAATACACATCACACCGAAGCAAATCATTATCCTGACTGTTTCCTATTACATAAATTGTAATAATGTGCAAAGAATTAACAAGGAAAGTATAAAAAAATAATTGACTGAGGTACTTTAAAATAGTTTAACTGTCGGTGTTTCTGGTGCAGGTTCCAAACAACCAGTGGGAAAAGGTGAGTTCACTTACTGTGATTCAGCGGTGACGTGACGCTGCAGGAGTGAAAACTAAAAGACGAAGAGTTCACGTCTCCTCGATTCTTCTATTCAACTGAGCTCGGCCCGTCACACAAATCACATGCTGAACTTTAGAAAATGTCGACAACGGTAGATAAACCGAACTGCTGCCCGAGAAGCAGGAAGTGAAAGTCATGTGACGTGAAGTGTCAGCTGACCACAGAGCAGGAAGCTAAAGGGGATAGAGGGGGCGGGGCCGTTTAGTTTTTGACTCACCTCACTTTCTGTCATTTCTCATTTTGCTGAAGTTTCTCATCTAAAGTTTATATTCTCATCTTTTTAAACACAACTTCATAATTATGATAATGATAAAACTTGTATGGTGCTTCTCAAGAAACTCAAAAACACTTTCACAGAATTGAAAAGAAAGACACAGTAAAGATAAAAACATAGAATCATCACACATTGAAAGCAGTTCTGAAGAAGTTCTTTACATATATATATTATATTTCCCTTTATGTATAGTTAATTAGTCAGTTATTGTCTTTATTAATCAGTTCCAATATCTACAGCCAGGTTATGATAAAGCCTCCTTTAATATGATCTGTTTTGCAATTAATAGAGAGACCTCCAAAGTCGTAAAGTACCCATTTATGAAGCAAATGTTAATCAATCACCAATCAATCAATGTAGATAAATGATAAACGATTAATAAAGGCTTCACAGTAATCCATCAAGTTTGCAGTGCTATTAAGGCGTCTGGACTAAACATGGATTTTGGTCCTGCAGCCCTTCTCTGGATGCTATTATAGAAAAACACTTCAATTATGGGGTCTTTTAATAAAAATGTAAGCAATTTATGAGAAGACAAATAAGGTGTCATGTTAATGGAGGATTTTCCACAACCTGGTAACCTTAAAAGTGTTTTTTATTGAAGGCCTATATTCATATGTGAGTTGTTAAATATATCTCTAGAACACTCAACTAACAGTGTCATGTTGTATTTCTCCATAACCTGACACCACAGGTCTTTTGGCTGTCACCTGTTACCCACAACACACTGAGTAAAGTTTTATCTGGTTGGTTCTACCTAAATGACCTAAGTACTTTCAACCTGTGGTGACTAATAGAACACACGTGAATTCATTCCTAATGTCTTCACCTCTCCCAGGAGTTTTTATTGTGGCGTCGACACGCAGGGCGGCAGCCTTTGCATTTGAAGGAAGTGTATTATTTGCAGTTGAGCCCACACTGACTGAAACAGCGACGCTGGCTGCTAGTCAAGCCGGTTCCACAGGCATCGGAGTGGTGACGGTGACGTGCCTTGTGTTCACCTCATTGCTTGTTTCTCTTGTGGGGGGTTTAACACAGCTAGCATTCTTCCACTGTGGATCTTCTTTGCAGCCCAAGTCGTCCTTGTCCTTGTAGTCTACTCATACTCGAAAATGATGATGTCTGGGCCCAGGGGTGACTGGAGAGGTCGCTGTGGGAGCTGCTATGATATCCTCAGTGTCACTGAGAGTTATTCTGGGATCCAGCTCATCCCTTGGGGCCTCCAGCAGCATGGGGGGGATGTAAGGAGCAGGGGTGTCACTCAGAGCTGCAAGTGTTGCAGCAAAACAAGCGTTTGCATCAAGAAAATCAACATTAGCAGTAGGTTCACTTGTTGTTGGTGCGATTCCTGCCACACAAGGCGTAGCATTGACAGCAACTATGTGTTCCACACTCAGGTGAATCTACAAAGGGGTCTTCTCACAGGGCCAGACCTAATTAAAGGAATCGGCATGGAGACGGTCATCGCAGCAGCGGCACCTATCGGAGCCGGGGCACTTGGGGCTGCGCCGTTAGGCACCGAGGCCCTGAGGAGACTGGGGACTGAAGGAGTTGTTGTGGCTGTATTGTTGGCCTGGGGAAGCTCTCTGAGTGCAGGAAAATCACACAGAGAATGATTAACGCTATCTTTTTCTCCTGCCTGTCATGCGCCTGATTATCTGCCTTTATTTATTTATTATTTATCATTAGAGAGAAATGTATTATCATCATTTTTATCCTGTCTATTTATGTTGTTACCTTGAAAATGTAATGACACGTGGTTCCTTTACATTCATCACACTAAGCACATGGATGTTGTATAAAGTCAAGATTGTATAATTCTACTGAGTCTACATAGTCCAGTTGTATTGCAATAGCATAAACAGATCATCTCTGCAACATAATTTCTTCATTTAAATCATCCCTCAGTGCTTCTAACTGTCCGTGAAGATGAATGAAAGTTTAGATTCATTATAAATGTGAATATAAATGTTTGAATTGCATTACTCCATGTCTACACTGACATAAAAGTAATATTGTAATTTAAATTACATTATTGTGTCTATCAGTTTTGAATAAACAGGTGTGAACTGTTAACGTGGTGTATTCACTCACTGATGTCATATTATTCCCTGAGAAAAAGGAAGACTGATTAATGGAGAGCATTTTAAACTGTTGATTGTTGACTTTTTTCCTGAGTAGCTTTAATCACCTCATTTCCACTCTTCTTCACACCATCACCTCCCCAGACGTGGTCACAAGCCGACAGTTACTTTGGTTTCGTCTTAGCAACAGTAACAGAGGACTTGGTGTTCAGAGAAGGGGGAGGGTGGAGGTGGGAGGAGGAAGAAGGAAAAGAGTGATATCAGAAGACAGAATAGATTAGAGTAGATGTATGTTGTGGAGAGCTCACAGTGATTAGAAGGAATATGGATTTGCAAACTAATATATGGTGTCATTTGGTTTGAGGAGTTGATGTGCAGCGTGCAGATGGACGTCCAGCTGTGGCTCATGGTTTTGAAGATGCAAAAAGTTTTTCCTCCTGAAACAACAGAGAGATAAACAGCACTAAACTTATGGAGAAACATGGTAATAAACTCTTAAGGTAAGAGACTTTTCATGGTGAATCTTTTGGAACTCTTCACTCTGGAATGGGATTATCTTCTGCATTGAAATTGCATCACTTCCCTGCACCATTAAAACCTTGATAATGTAATCATCTCCAAAGATGGGACACAACACAGCTTCTCCGTGGGTCATCCAGTGCGCTTCGGCACCACTAACCCAGTATTACATGCATCAGGAGGATTAACCTCACCATCATGTCTGTGAACCGGGTCCACACCACAGACACGGAGCAGTCTGCAGGCTACTCTCCGGAGTATTCATTGCAGGTTCCCGGCAGTGACCCGGGTCACGAAACGGGCCTTGCACGGGAGGTGACCGTCCTTCAGTCCAGCTGCTGCCGCTGCCTGCCCCGCGCCGTGCGCCTCACCTTTACGCCCGAGTCTTTGGAGAGGCTTTACCAGAACTACTTCCGCCGCCAGAGACAAGAAAACCTGCTGGTTCTGGTGATGTTCGCCGCTCTCTTCAACAGCTTCATCATCATCATGTGCGCGGTGGTGTACACCGAGGACAAGCTGGCCATGGTGGTGGTGGCAGCCGTGGGTCTGGCCGCGGACATCGTCCTTTACGCGCTGTGCTGGTTCCAGAAGCTCCCTGCGTCGCCGGTCTCCCGTGGAGCGGTGCCGTACATTCTGTGGCTGATGGTCACCGTGCACGTTTTATGTTACATGGGACTCAACTATGAGCGTTTCTCTCACGCCAGTGACTCGGTGGGCTGGCAGGCCTTCTTCAGTTTCTCCAGCTTCCTGACGCTGCCCCTGAACCTGGTGCCTCTCCTGCTGCTCACGGCCCTGTCCTCCGGGATACACACCCTGGTGTTGGGGGTGACTGTGGCTCAAAGGTTTGATGCCAACCTGCAGGGGTCCATGCTGGTGAGACAGGTAAATGTTGCGTCAAGATTGCATATGGCTGTGGGTCACTTAAGCCAATGATGCAGAACTTCTGGCCTCTTGTGGCCCCTGAGAAAATGGATGAGCCTAAAGTTGTCCACTTGTAAAAATGTAAATGTGGCCCAAATATTCCAAAACAAATGTGGGCCTTTTTTGGCAAATATGTGTTGCTCTTGGCAAGTTGTCATCTGGATGTAAACCTAAGTGGCCCCATGTGATGAATGGTGAATATGGCACAAATAGCACAAAAACTAATTTGGGATACCATTGGCAGCTTTGGTTGACATGCAGTATGGATATGGTTTACTTCTGGCCCAGATCTGGCAAAAAGGAGAGGACCACCCAAGTGCTATCATTCCACACAATATTTCAGGCCACATGAAGTGCGACAGTGTGGGCCAGATCTGGGCCAAAACAATTTTGCTGTGCAAGGCCAAAAGTGTGTCACACAGATGTGGAGGAAAATTGGGAGGAAAGGGGAGCAGTTGGAAAAAAAAATGTGTCACAAGATTGATAAGAAAATATGAGTTTAAAAAAATATTATATATATATATAATCGTAGACAGTGGCAGCAAAGTGACAATAAACCTCACAAACACCTCTCTGCCTCCTCAGCTTTTCGCCAACATTATGCTGTACCTGTGTGCAGCCATGGTGGGCGTGATGTCGTACTACATGGCGGACAGGAAATACAGAATGGCCTTTT